AAGAGCGTGCAGAAGCGAGGAGATGACTCAGAGGGTGCCCTGGTTCCCTGCAGAGCTGACTGCAGGCGCAGCAAATCCACCTCCACAGCAAAACCCCTCAGCCACCGCCTTTCCCGGGCACAGGCACGGTGCACAGGCACTGCCCAGCTCCAGGTGTTTCCCATTAGCAATGGCCCCAGGGTGTGGGTGGTTATAAATGTGCCAGGGCACAGGGGGTGTCTGTAGGGCTTTTGGTTGCTGCTTGGGGTACCTTCTGCTTTTACAGCTGTATGTAGTGTGGGTTATTTTTCTCTGGTTGGGAAACTGAAGGTAGAAAAGGATGAGGGAAGGGCTGGTGTGTGGTGTTCTTTAGGATTTACTTCTGTTTCTGTGTGTGATGAGAGCAGTGGATGAAGTACTGGTGGGTGGAGAGGCTGCCTTGGAGGCTCACTGGGAAAGGCAGTGATTTCTGACTTGCACCAACAAGGTGAAAAGCAAAGTCTGTTGCTGTTATGTGAACAGTGACTGGATAGATTTGTATTTGCTAAATCTGGGTTATTCTTCCTTAACCAATGCCATCAAATGGCATCTATGAGTGATCGAGGCTTCTGTGTGTGTGGGACTGGGGTGGGGGAGTGCACGTGGTGAGTAGAACTAATGCCTTTGGTAAGGCGAGGAGAAGAAGGTGGTTAGTCTGCCTGTGTAATTAATGTTGTCTTCTCCCTCTGCCCAACAGGGCAGGCCAGTATCAGCTCTACCAGTTCTGTTTTGTTTGATGACATGGATGACTGGGACAACAGTGATGAATTTATTCAGCGACTGGATTTTTCCAGTTGTGGTGAAGAGAGTGAAGACAGAAGCGTAGACGAGGAGGATGCCCTGAGCTCAAGCCCACACCAGAGCTGCAAGTTCCAGAACTGGCAAGGGAGCAGTCCTCTGCCAGCAACCCCTCAGGGAAAGCTTAACGAGGCTTTCCCCAGCAGGAGGAAAGCCTGGGTGAGTCCCACTCTGCAGCCTTCCCCGGCCGTGAGCAAGAGCCAGGGTAATCCTGAGACACCACTGCACATCACCTGGAAGAAACTGCAGCTCTGTGACACCCCGTACACTCCCAAGGTAATGGCACGGGCCAGCTCCGCGTCTGAGCGGGCAGGGTCTGCAGCGTCGCCGGGGCATCGCTGCGTGGGCGGTGAAGGGGTCTGTTGTTAGCGCTGTGGAAAGCATTTTTGTAACTTTATTGTTGTTAGCGCCTGCTCTTCCCTCAGAAACCTGGTCCGTGAGCTGCTTGGCTAGGGAAGAGTTAGTCTGTGAGCGTGAATAGAAACTTGTCGGTGGGAACAAGTGTCTTGACTTTTTCCGAGCTGTTGTTAAAACCAGTTAGTCGGTGCGGGGCCAGTCTGACTTAAAAAATGACCACCATGTGCCTTGGCTGCCTGTGTGCCCCTTGCACTCTGCTTAGGGGAATGGACATCTGTAGCATCTCTGTAGGAGCCTGCAGTGTGCTCCCAGGGGGATAAATGCATCTCCCTTCGAGAAGCTCATCGCTCCAGGGGGAGCTTGGAGACGGGCAGCTGCACAGACTGCTCTGTTCAGCACGCTTTTGGGGGCAGGTGGGTTTTCTCTGAAGAGAAGGTTGGAGATGGCATTGTGGATGGGGTATGTTTAGTCTGGCAGCTCTGGACTGCTTCCAATGAGCTTGCTCTGTGGAACTGAGCTGCTCAGTGAATCTGGGGAAAGCAGGACTGTTCTTAGGGCCTGTGGAAGGGGTAACAACTCAGCGTGTGCTTGTGGAGGAAGGTTGGCCTGTCTTCCACTGTGTCACTGTCCTAAAATGTAACTTCTCTACTGAGCTAGCTTCTTGGAAGAATGATCCCAGGCCCTGTTTTCTGGAGAAACTCTTGTATAGAGTATAACAGGGCTGCTCTTTTGTCTTCTGTAAGCACAAGTGGAGACTTGGCGCCAGCTTCTCTGTTCCCAGATAACTTCTGTTGCGTGCACTGGCTTTTAGCATTCACAGCTTGCAATGAAATGGACTCTTTCAGGCCTCTCTCCATATATCTGCTCTGCTGATAGACTGGCTGCTCTTTTGCCTAAGTGGTACATAGAAGATTGGTCCTTTTAGTACCTCTGAGCTAGGATTTGACTTCTCTCCCCCTCCAGAAACTTGATTACGTGGAGAGAAGGATGATCCCGCGGCAGCGTATGACCTGCTGTGCGGCCTTATTTACTGAGGAATGGCCTGCTGCTCTCTAGGGGAAGGCAGCTCTAAGCGGCATCACTCCAAGAATTTCCTGCAATCACCCTTTATGAGAAACCTCCATGAGATTTTCCTGATCTGAAAATAGGTGAGAGGTCTAGAATCGCTTCCAGGCCAGACGGGCTACTGGCAGTGTAGGGTGCTTTCACTGTGTGCTCTTGTGTAGATGACGTGTTGGCTGGATGCTTCAAGACATGCTGCCAGTGGTTGGTCACCTTGTAGCCCAGAAGCAGTAGCTGCACTAAATCAACAATTTCTTTCCCTTTGTTGTCTTCTGGGAGGAAGGTCTTGGTTTCCAAGCATGCTGCAAAAGGTGGGCTCTAAGGGACCTAAATCTGCTTATAAATGAGGCTGCAAGCATTGATCTTGGAAAACTTGAAGCTGAGAGAAAAGGGTCGGAGAGCGGAGCTGCGTCGAACCGCAGACAGATGAGGCTGGAGTGCCAGCTAGGATGCATGGCAGAGGAGGTAGATGATTGTATTTTGTGGACTTACCTGATCCTGGAACAGATTGCTAGAGCTAGCTATGGTAGCTGCCTTGAGCTACATGGCAGCAGATGCTCTCAGATGATGTTACAGGAGACAAGTCTGCTTGATTATGAAATAGAGCCCTGGTAGAGCAGATGGGGAACTGCATGTGTACAACAGCAGGCTGCACTGGTATTTCAGATCCCTTTCTTGACTTCTAGCTAGACTAGAACATAGAACAATTCTACAGAGCTTCTAAACTGCTGGGTAAACTGGGCTTGGACATAGACTGCTTTTAATACATCTATATGCAGAGCTCTTCTCTCCAAGAGCAAGGAGATGCAGACCAGGGCTTGAGAAGGTGATCAAGAAGCACTTTCAGGGTCATAGTAAACCAGCAGCTGAACTGCCAAGTATGGCATAGAAATAGAGGGATGTCCCAGAAGTATCTATATCCATGAGTGCAGCATCAATTAGGTGGATGCAGGATACTGTATACAGCTCTAGGGTTTTTTATCTTCCAGAACTTTCAATGAGAGAAGGGAGGAACTCTGGGTATGATCCTGGAGCCACATCTCCACTCACAAGAGTGAGACAGCTGTTGGGTCAAAAAGATATAGAAGTATCTTGATCTTTGTGATGGGGAGAGTTCTGTGTTCTTAAAGGGCTTTTAACTAGAAGAAAGATATGTTGAAAACCCCTTTAGACCTTAGGCCACTCTCTTGAAGCTGAAACAAATCTAAAATAAACCTGTATTTCAAAAAGCTGATAGTTACTGAAGGGATCAAATCATGGAAAGTAAGCAGATTTCTTCTGTATTCAGATCAAAACTGGGTGCTTCTGTGAAGTTATGCTTTCTTCTCAAGGAGAACTGTTTTCTGGTCACTTTTCCAGAAGCCACATCAAAATATTTCTACCAACTTCCCCTGTGATAATGCTGCTTATTGCTGGGGAACCAAAAGGAAACTTGGGTGATGTTTCCTCTCATCTCCTGACAAACCTGTCCTGACCAAACTGATGCAACAGTCCACGCTTGGCAGAACTGGGTCTTCCATGTTAATGCAACATATGATGCAATTTCTGTGTCTCTGTAGGTGGGAAAGATGAGCAGCTGGCTCCTCTTGAGGACTGTGCTTGCCAAAATGGCTCTGCAGGCCTCACCCAAGTGAGCAGGGAATAGTCTGAAAGGCCTTAACAAAGAATGTCATCCTTCACGGAAGGAGAAGAAAGCTGTCAGGACTAAATTGGGGATGTGGGTTTTGATGATTCGGCTATCCTGAGGAAAGGAGCTGAGTTCTCGCTTTGCTGGAGAGCAGAGATTTTATTCTGACATAGCAGGACTGAAAACATTTTGCTCGTGTATCAGCCACTTTTTTTTTTTTCCTCAATACAGAGCCTGTTATCGAAGACAGCTTTTCCTTCATCTGGGACAAAGATGCCACCCAAAGGCTTCCGACATCTGAGATTTACTCCTGGTGCTGACTCAGATGACTCTGCCCAAGCCTCCCTTGTCAACATTAATCCCTTCACACCAGAGTCGTATCGACAAATGCTCTTTCTGCCTAATGGCAAGAGGAAGACCAGAGGAGAACTGTAAGTAAACTACTCTTAAATAACAGGCTGGAAGGAGACTGTTTGGAGGAGATGAGTAATGATGGCGATGTTTAGTACCTGGCCTTGTTTGCTAACAATGAATCATTCGCTTCTGCAGTATTCATTGGTGCAGAGCAAACATTAGCAGACATATGAAGGTAACAGAAATATAAATAAAATCAATCATTTCCTTTGTTCAGAAATGGAAGTGGGGGATCAACAGCTAACCTCAGCGCTATGGCTGTGGGAGACAACTGTACCCCTTCTTTCTCGACCGTGGGCAGAGTGGCGCTTGGTTCAGTTAGGCACATGGCCACAACTCGGAAGAAATGACGTACATGTTTGCATGTAATACAGCTTTTAAGCTGGGTGCAGGCTACTGCTGACCTGCGAAAGTTCCAGGTGTGGTCTGGGTTAACCACAACACAAGCTTGGTCAAACACCTGTGTGCTATACAATGATGTTCAGCTTCTTTCATAGCCTCAGCGGGATACCCCCCTTGAAAACACCGTGGGGCAGTGCTCTCTTTAGCTGGGAGCTGCTGGTGCAAGGTTATCTTCTGTGTAGCTGTACCAGGTGGCTGGAAGGATGATGCTTCTGTGACCTGTGGGCACTACAAAAGTTGGTATGTGGAGGCTTTCTAAATGGAAACAAAGACTTCCTAGACTGGGACTACAGTCTTTGAGGCCTCAACTAGAAACTCATTGTGTATTATTCCTCTGTAAAACAGATCTTTAAACTGTCAAGTGAGGTTTGGAGATTCTTTTGAAAAATGTTTTCATTTCAAATCTCAGTTGGATTGCTCCACTGAAATAATACATCCAGAGTTTCCTAAACTTCTATTATAGGAGGGATCCTGATCCAAGAAGCCAGATAAAACAGGAGCTCCCTACCAAGGTGAGTGTCTCTGTGTACTCGCCTCACAGAGGGGATAAGATGCTTGTAAATACTTGGTGCTTGATGAAATTTATTCTGCTACTGGAATTGAAATCATGGGATTGTGACAGAGGGGGATAAGATGCTTGTAAATACTTGGTGCTTGATGAAATTTATTCTGCTACTGGAATTGAAATAATGGGATCGTGACAGAGGATGAATACCTATGATAGAATAGTTCCATGATGAATGTTTATGTTACCATTTGTTTGAGACCACAAACTTGTGATTCCTAGCTCTAAAGGAAACTTGTACTAAAGCAGGTCTAAAACTTTGACAATTAATCCTAAAATTCGCCAGATTTGATCAGGAGGTCTTTCTAGGAAATGTAATATAATCTGGGTTCCTCGGAGGGGGAAAGTAATTACTGTATTACTATATTGAATTAGTGTGAAGAGTGACCATGCCTCTGGTTTAAAAAGCAGCAGGTGTATTGCTGTTCCTATGAATTGGTGTGCTGGGAATCTTTGGATGTGAATGGAATATGGTTTCTGTATTGCAAATAATATATGGACCTGCACTGCGAAACCAGAAAGGCTGAGCTGGACAGTTCTGATGTGGATAAGTACTGAGGGCAGAGTTTCAGCTGCAATAGCCACAATGGCAAACTTCTGAAGCACGGGA